TTACAACCAAGTCAGCCACCCTGACCACCCGATCCCTTTAGTCGCCTCCTACGACAAGCATTGTCGCCTCTTACGGCAGGCATGGGTTGCTGAAGACCTATTCTCACCCGGATCTTCTCAGGTCAAGTGAGGTTCAACTGATACATTAAGATGAAATAAAACTGAATTATATTGCTGTTTACATATCAAAGTTTGGTAAATTGTTACAAAATGTATGGCCACAGCAAGGCTATGTATTCACAACATATTGTGCTAGGCACAGTAAAACTGGACTGAGGGAGGGCCGTATTCCTCCTTGGGGGTCACCTGCTTGGCAATATGGGACGGGAAAACTACAGGGGTGAGGGCAGTTAAGTTGATGGTACAGATGAGAGAGATTATTTTACAAATGTGAAACATGGTGAGATTTACAGAACAAAGGCAATTATTTCTAGTTTCTTACTGACTCTCGAGGATACATTCAATAAAGCAGTTAATGCGTGTGTGTGTGTACAGCATAAAAATGGCTAGGTAGTTCGGGTAGATATGTAGAGCGGCAGGCCAGTATGACTTTTGAGACACTACATTTTCAGTCATTAAATGCGTAAAACATTTATTGAGTAAGAGAAAACACTTTTAGTGAGTGAAACAAAAGACATCACTACAGGCACACCCAGTCCCCCAACCCCAAGTTTACAAGTATCAATACTTATACCTGCCACATCCTCAACAACTTTACTTGTATTGGTATTCGTGCTTACATACATACACCCTCCTACCATTCCCCTACATCCATCGCACTATAACTATAACTATAACCGCCTTCATGCATCGGCACTCATGTTCACATTGCATTGCATGCATCGAATTACACGTTTGAAATATCGTAAATATTTTACAATATTGACATATCAAATATCAGCAAACCGAGATTATCATAACGCAATAGATTTCATCCGTCAAAACATCACAGAAAGAAGGGCAGCCTGGAATTTTACAATGGCATCAGAATGCACTAAGAAGTTCAACTGGTCAGGAGGTGAGAGTTGCGGAAAATTACGATAAACTACAGTTACAGATCTCCATTGCGAATATCTAAAGTATGAATAAAGTTTACAGCTTGCTGTAAAGTGTACTTCATCCCGGCAGATTTAGCAATTTCCTTAGCTATAAAAGTTATGTCTAAATGCTCATGTAGACAAGGACCCAAATTTTTATAGGCATGACCATATTATATTCTACGCAAATATCTCCACATTTAAAAACAAAGCTAGATTGAGTCTTTGAAGGGCATTAAGAAGTGATACATATAAGGAAGAAAATTTATGGATGTCGACGTCTATATTATGAGGAACACAACATCTCGGAGTATATACTGACTCCTTCATCAGGTGAATAAATGCTATGATCATGAGGTAGAGAACATATATATGTACCTGTAAGAACAACAAATGTAAAAAGATTGCAAAGGAGGAAACGTAAAAAGGGAAGCCAACGGATAACTGGCGCTAATTACCCCGGCCTCCCGTTTGCCCATTGTCCAAAGTTTTGGCTTTAATTTGTCCATTGATAATCAACCATCAACGTCTATTATCTCAACCTAAAAAGTACGAGAATCTCTACTTTTCTGAGAAAGTGTTATCCAAATATAACATTTGTTACAGTTGACCACTTTCTTAATGGCATTGTGTGTTCAAAGCTTTCGGACTTGGGGGCCACGTCATTTTTCACTTGTCAGAGGGGTACACAAAGTACGTGATCTGGATTAACAGTTGTCGGACTTTTATTTTTGGTGGAAGCCTCAGTGGCTGGGTAAGATCGATGACTTTGTGTTATAACATTTGTTGTCAAGAAAGCACAATAAATGTATATTCGGCGTATTTGGATGTGTAATTATATCACAGACATTTACGGATATTGATGACGACTTGGGGAAGCTTCGTAACACACGTTTTCTCAATTCAGGGATTGGTAACTCAAAATGTGTGTGAGTGCATGTGTGCGTGCGTGCGTGCGTGTGTGTGTGTGTGTGTGTGTGTGTATGTGAGGGCCTGTTGGATATTACATAAAACATTCAGTTTGAGCGGGACGGTAGTTTCAGTTGGATAAGCATGTTAACTATGATCTTCTGAAGGTAGAGAATGCCGCGCATGAATGTATTCATGAGATTCCCGGGTACATGGGTCCTTTTCGGCACCAAAAATAACCACAGAGGAGACTTAAATGGGGATCGGGTGAACACAATGTGCTACCTGGTAGATTGTGTGTCATCAAACCGAACAATGATGGCCTTTGACTGATTGTGGCGTAAAACACACTTAATCATTTACTTGTATCGGAAATTGAATGTTCATCTTAATTGTTATTGATGAACACGAAATATATTTTTCAAAGAAATAAAACAGGGACATAATAACTACAACTTTATGTGAGCACGAGCAGCTCTATTGGAATGAGATGAATAAGTGTTATAAAGTTGTAAGCTTCTTCACAACCGTGTAACTATGAATTGACTTTATTGGGTAATCAAAAAAGAGATAGCGACCTAAAATAGCCAAATATCACACGATTTCACTTGTCCACCATCTTCGATGCAAGGCGAAAACATTTCAGCGCATTTGAAGCCACTGAGAATGCCTCCTGCAGAGTTGGACGAACATTCTTTGATTGACTGTGGTGTCAAAACAAACTCATTCATTTACTTGAACTGAATGTTCATCTTAATTGTTACTGATAGTCACGGTGACTATCCAGAGAACAGGGTGTCATTAGATAAAAACGAAGTAATAATAGGATTACCATAAAAACGGGGTATAACACCCAAGCCAATACGCTTCGCTCAGGAACACCAGAGTAAGTCAGAACAAGATTGAAAACTGACCTATAATTATGTATGACAGGCTAGTCTTTAGTATTAACATTAAAATACACGATATCTGTATAGGCGATATTGTCTTCGTTCCACCGGTGAGTAAGCGTTAGCCTTACTTTCTCGTGGTATAAATATTGCAAGAAAAATTATTCCTGAAGACATCACGATACAGTTTTTACGATGCATCACGTCTGCACTAGCGCTTGTGTTTGGGTGTTTCAGTAGTTTAAATTGCTGCTTTGATATTGTTGATTAATCTTTGATACAATGAACAATATAAGATTATATGAGAGTTTGACCTTAGGACGATAACATGCGTTAATGTATATCTGATATATATATAAGATGACATGAATAGAGCAATGAGTAGTACGTCCAGATTAGTGTATAGGCAACATTTTATAATCCAAGTCAACAACTCTCCCTTTAAGTCATTTTTTCCTGACTTAAAAGTAAATGCAAGAACACAATCGTCCGGAATACAAAGGATAATACTGGTGCACTTCCATGTGACTATATAGCATACAATAAGCTTTCGGGTCCCGTTTGGATCGGTTTGGGTGGCACCCAAGATATCCATAGAATGGGTTCATCTCGGAATCTCCCATATCACTGGGGCTCCGTTTCAATTAAAATGGAGTTACTAGTTTCTTTCAAAACTATTTAGTTTTAGAGACTAAGCATTAGTCTGAATATACATCACCAGTTTGGAATTTTAAACTAATCTGTTTACAGTAACAAGACACTGCTTAAGTGTCATGTACAAATGAGAAAGTGGAATCCCGTCAATTAGGCGGACGAACCTTAAAACTATTAATAACCCTAAAAATAAGCAATATCGGAAAAATATATATGCATAATTTATTATTATACTACCTGGCAATATGCACCAAGTTCACCTTCTACAAAAATAAGTTTTAAAACCCGGTTCATATTCGTTTGCGTATTTGACGATTATATAACTTGAGAAAGTATAAATCCATTTCCTATACTCAGACGTTCCTGAGCCTTGAGCCTTTCCTGATTATTACTGTTATCATTGTATTAGTTAAGGGGAAATGCGTGCCGATCAAGTACGTGCCATAAATTTAAGCGACATTGTACGATTCCGAGCTTATCCCGAGACTATGTTTATGAATCATTGTCAAATAGTGGTGACATTAAATCTAGGAAACAATACCCGACATCGCGCATGCACAGAACGGAAAATTTGGACAAGGCATTAACGATTGATGTCAGTACTTCCGCTAAGCGCTTCGTGTACAGCGTCAAACTCGGGCCTGTAATCTAACACGCGACAACTGACCAATGAAATCTGAGAAGTAGAAATACCGGTAGACGCTGTTGCTTGATTATATCGTTCTCTCTCAGTGAATTCCGATTTCAAATAACGACGTTATTTGGACGGAAAAACGATGGTTTGAAAGCGTCTAAATAACGTCGTTTTTCCGTATGCGGAAAAAAACGACGTTTTCGTGTTTGCAGTGTAATAACGGTATACCAGGGTGACACAATCACGGTATTCCAGGGTGACATAATCACGGTAGACCAGGATGACATACTCACGGTATTCCAGGGTGACATAATCACGGTATACCAGGGTGACATACTCACGGTAGACCAGGATGACATAATCACGGTATACCAGGGTGACATAATCACGGTAGACCAGGATGACATACTCACGGTATTCCAGGGTGACATAATCACGGTATACCAGGGTGACATAATCACAGTATACCAAGCTGACATATAACTCCACTATTTCGACAGAGAGAATCGTCCGAGAATGTGACTGTCAATGTTTCTTACACAAACTGACGTGATGCGATTGTCAAAAAAACCCGAATAAGTATGTGTAAACATACCTATTTGTAAAGGAATGTAGGGTTACACAAACATAGAGCTACTCTGTCATATCCTCTCTTATGTAGTTAAACTAGCACGAGCGCTGTGTTGTAGGATCAGCATGTGATCAATGTACAGTAATTACACCGTAGTCCATTCTGAATGCTCGTCATAGAAGCAGGTGAACTTTATACTTAACCGAAAGTAAAACTGACAGAAAGTCATACATACCTTGATGTGAATAACGCCGTAACGTTAACCAGCTCGTTCAATGCAAATTAACAATATAATCTTTGCTAACCTTGATGCTAACTCCGAAATATTTGGCAAAATATTCTCTCGCCTGCTCCGCGCAACAGTCACGTACTCAGTTCCGTGTGTCCGAGAAGATATATATTTGAGTCACTTGATTGCTACGTGAGTCTGACTGGTCACACTCACTCCCGAGTTCAAGCTCGGGCACGTCTCAGTCTGCCGTTAATACCTGTAAACGCTGCACTTGTGTTTAGCTACAGTTATCTATGTTCAACTTGTCAACGGGGCGCATGTTGTCAGACTAAGTAGAAAAATGTTCGGGTCGGCAAAATATGATACAGTCCTAAGACCTACCCCACCTCATTAATAAATGACCAATTCTCTTAGCCTTCACCTGTACACCACTGTGCATGTGGTTGCCACGGCCACGCCACTGAATGATGTCTATAAATAAAACATTTACTTATCACAACACATATGTTACGTACAGATATTAAATGAAAATACCCAATATATGTGGATCAGTGAACATTGCATCAATATTAAATGAAATGAATATATTCTATCTATTATTTCAACAAGCAAATGTTGTTCAGTTTGTTGCGTGTACACAAAGCAATGTATATGCTAAAACGATGCGTGCACATAGAGCCTGCCAGACATTTATGTTCTCGGCCTTATTATGAGCATCCGTTTTTGGAATCCAAGGCCTGGATGAGGTCTCTGGTATCTAAGGCCAGGAGCATGGACTTAGCTTTTTGTATCTACGGCCTGGCATATATTCTGGTATGTTCGGCCTGGATTTAGTGTCTGGTATGTTCGTCCTGGATTTGGTGCCTGGTATGTTCGGCCTGGATTTGGTGTCTGGTATGTTCGGCTTGGATTTGGTGTCTGGTATGTTCGGCCAAGATTTAGTGTCTGGTATGTTCGGCCTGGCTCTAGTGTCTGGTATGTTCGGCCTGGATTTAGTGTCTGGAATGTTCGGCCTGGATTTAATGTCTGGTATGTTCGGCCTGGATTTGGTGTCTGGTATGTTCGGCCTAGATTTAATGTCTGGTATGTTCTTCCTTGATTTAGTGTCTGGTATGTTCGGCCTGGATTTAATGTCTGGTATGTTCGGCCATGATTTAGTGTCTGATATTTTCGGCCTGGATTTGGTGTCTGGTATGTTCGGCCTGGATTTAGTGTCTGGAATGTTCGGCCTGGATTTAGTATCTGGTATGTTGGGCTTGGATTTAGTATCTGGTATGTTCGGCCTGGCTCTAGTGTCTGGTATGTTCGGCCTGGATTTAGTGTCTGGTATGTTCGGCCTGGATTTAGTGTCTGGAATGTTCGGCCTAGATTTAGTGTCTGGTATGTTCGGCCTTGATTTAGTGTCTGGTATGTTCGGCCTGGATTTAGTGTCTGGTATGTTCGGCCTGGATTTAGTGTCTGGTATGTTCTTCCTTGATTTAGTGTCTGGTATGTTCGGCCTGGATTTAGTGTCTGATATTTTCGGCCTGGATTTGGTGTCTGGTATGTTCGGCCTGGATTTAGTGTCTGGAATGTTCGTCCTGGATTTAGTGTCTGGTATGTTCGTCCTGGATTTAGTGTCTGGTATGTTCGGCCTGGATTTAGTGTCTGGTATGTTCGGCCTGGATTTAGTGTCTGGTATGTTCGGCCTGGATTTGGTGTCTGGTATGTTCGTCCTGGATTTAGTGCCTGGTATGTTCGGCCTGGATTTGGTGTCTGGTATGTTCGTCCTGGATTTGGTGTCTGGTATGTTCGTCCTGGATTTAGTGCCTGGTATGTTCGGCCTGGATTTGGTGTCTGGTATGTTCGGCCTGGATTTAGTGTCTGGTATGTTCGGCCTGGATTTAGTGTCTGGTATGTTCGGCCTGGATTTAGTGTCTGGTATGTTCGGCCTGGATTTAATGTCTGGTATGTTCGGCCTGGATTTAATGTCTGGTATGTTCGGCCTGGATTTAGTGTCTGGAATGTTCGGCCTGAATTTAGTGTCTGGTATGTTCGGCCTGGATTTAGTGTCTAGAATGTTCGGCCTGGATTTAATGTCTGGTATGTTCGGCCTGGATTTAGTGTCTGGTATGTTCGGCCTGGATTTGGTGTCTGGAATGTTCGGCCTGGATTTAGTGTCTGGTATGTTCGGCCTGGATTTAGTGTCTGGAATGTTCGGCCTGGATTTAGTGTCTGGTATGTTCGGCCTGGATTTAGTGTCTGGAATGTTCGGCCTGGATTTAATGTCTGGTATGTTCGGCCTGGATTTAGTGTCTGGTATGTTCGGCCTGGATTTAGTGTCTGGTATGTTCGGCCTGGATTTAGTGTCTGGTATGTTCGGCCTGGATTTAGTGTCTGGTATGTTCGGCCTGGATTTAGTGTCTGGTATGTTCGGCCTGGATTTAATGTCTGGTATGGTCGGCCTGGATTTTGTGTCTGGTTTGTTCAGCCTGGATTTTGTGTCTGGTATGTTGGGCCTAGAATTAGTGTCGGGGATGTTCGGCCTGGATTTAGTTTCTGGTATGTTTGGCCTGGATTTGGTGTCTGGTATGTTCGGCCTGGATTTGGTGTCTGGTATGTTCGTCCTGGATTTAGTGCCTGGTATGTTGGGCCTAGATTTAGTGTCGGGTATGTTCGGCCTGGATTTAGTTTCTTGTATGTTCGGCCTGGATTTGGTGTCTGGTATGTTGGGCCTGGAGTTAGTGTCTGGTATGTTCGTCCTGGATTTAGTGTCTGGTATGTTCGGCTGGATTTGTCCTAACTGAGGATGCAACAAGCATCTGCGTGAGAGAGGAATTTGCGAATAATTTGAATTATATAACGTTGACTTTGTATTTCAGTATGATAAGAAAAACAGCTTCTTGCAACTTTCAAACCACATGGAACTAGCTACTGTGTACAGAGAGTCAGGAAGGAGCATAGCGTAACACGGTGCACAGAGTCTCACAATAAATAAAATCAATGCATAGAGTTGCACGATGCATAGAGTCCCACGATGCATAGAGCCACACGGTGCTTAGTGTCACACGGTGCATAGGGTCATGAAGGAGCATCGCGTAATTAACACAGTGCATAAAGTCTCACAATGCATAAAGTCCCACGACGAATGGAGCCCCACGGTGCATTGAGTCTCACGATGCATAGATTCATAAAGCATAGCGTAATACGGTGCATAGAGTCTCACAATGCATAGAACCCCACGATGCATATAGTCTCACGGTGCATAGAGCCACACGGTGCATAGAGTTATGAAGGAGCATAGCATAACATGATGCAAAGAGGTTCACGGTGCATAGAGTCATGAAGGTGCATAGCGTAACAAACACGGTGCATAGAGTCTCACGATGCATAAAGTCCCACAATGCATAGAATATCACAATGCATAAAGTCCCACAATGCATAGAGTCTCACGGTGCATAGAGTCATCAAGGTGCATAGCGTAATTAACACGGTGCATAGAGTCTCACGATGGATAAAGTCCCACAATGCATAGAGCCACACGGTGCATAGATTTATAAAGGAGCATAGCGTAACACGGTGCATAGAGTCTCACAATGCATAGTCTCACAATGCATAGTCACGAAGGAGCATAGCGTAACACTGTGCATAAAGTCTCACGATGCATAGATTCATGAAGGAGCATAGAGTCCCACGATGCATAATGACACATGGTGCATAGAGTCACGAAGGAGCATAGCATAACACGGTACATAGAGTCTCAGGATGCATAGAATCTAAACGGTGCATAGAGCCACGAAGGAGCATAGCGTCACACGGTGCACATAGTTTCACAATGCATAGAGTCTCACGGTGCAGAGTCACGAAGGAGCATAGCAAGCACGGTACATAGAGTCTCATGATGCATAGAATCTGACGGTGCATAGAGCCACATGGGGCATAGAGTCATGAAGGTGCATAGCGTAATTAACACGGTGCATAGAGTCCCACAATGCATAGAGCCACACTGTGCAAAGAGTCTCACGATGCATAATGTCCCACATAGAATCTCAAGATGCATAGAGTAATGAAGGAGCATAGCGTAACTTGGTGGATAAAGTCTCACAATGCATAGAGCCACACAGTGCATAGAATCCCATGATGCATAGAGCCACACGGTTATGAAGGAGCAAAGCATAACACGATGCATAGAGTCTCACGGTGCATAAATTCATAAAGGAGCATAGCGTAACACGGTACATAGAGTCTCACGATGCATAAAGTCCCACGACGCATAGAGCTCCACGGTGCATAGAGTCTGATGATGCATAGTTTCACGAAGGAGCATAGCGTAACACGGTGCATAGTCTCACAATGCATAGAGTCTCACGGTGCAGAATCACGAAGGAGCATAGCATAACACGGTACATAGAGTCTCAGGATGCATAGAATCTGACGGTGCATAGAGTCACGAAGGAGCATAGCGTAACACGGTGCATATAGTTTCACAATGCATAGAGTCCCACGCTGCATGGAGTCCCACGCTGCATAGAGTCTCACGATGCATAGATTCATGAAAAAACACGTTACATAGAGTTTCACAATGCATAGAGTCTCACGGTGCATAGAGTCATGAAGGAGCATAGCGTAATTAACACAGTGCATAAAGTCTCACAATGCATAAAGTCCCACGACGAATGGAGCCCCACGGTGCATTGAGTCTCACGATGCATAGATTCATAAAGCATAGCGTAATACGGTGCATAGAGTCTCACAATGCATAGAATCCCACGATGCATATAGTCTCACGGTGCATAGAGCCACACGGTGCATAGAGTTATGAAGGAGCATAGCATAACATGATGCAAAGAGGTTCACGGTGCATAGAGTCATGAAGGTGCATAGCGTAACAAACACGGTGCATAGAGTCTCACGATGCATAAAGTCCCACAATGCATAGAATATCACAATGCATAAAGTCCCACAATGCATAGAGTCTCACGGTGCATGGAGTCATCAAGGTGCATAGCGTAATTAACACGGTGCATAGAGTCTCACGATGGATAAAGTCCCACAATGCATAGAGCCACACGGTGCATAGATTCATAAAGGAGCATAGCGTAACACGGTGCATAGAGTCTCACAATGCATAGTCTCACAATGCATAGTCACGAAGGAGCATAGCGTAACACGGTGCATAAAGTCTCACAATACATAGAGCCACACTGTGCAGAGAGTCTCACGATGCATAGATTCATGAAGGAGCATAGAGTCCCACGATGCATAATGACACATGGTGCATAGAGTCACGAAGGAGCATAGCATAACACGGTACATAGAGTCTCAGGATGCATAGAATCTAAACGGTGCATAGAGCCACGAAGGAGCATAGCGTCACACGGTGCACATAGTTTCACAATGCATAGAGTCTCACGGTGCAGAGTCACGAAGGAGCATAGCAAGCACGGTACATAGAGTCTCAGGATGCATAGAATCTGACGGTGCATAGAGCCACATGGGGCATAGAGTCATGAAGGTGCATAGCGTAATTAACACGGTGCATAGAGTCCCACAATGCATAGAGCCACACTGTGCAAAGAGTCTCACGATGCATAATGTCCCACATAGAATCTCAAGATGCATAGAGTAATGAAGGAGCATAGCGTAACTTGGTGGATAGAGTCTCACAATGCATAGAGCCACACAGTGCATAAAATCCCATGATGCATAGAGCCACACGGTTATGAAGGAGCATAGCATAACACGATGCATAGAGTCTCAGGATGCATAGAATCTGACGGTGCATAGAGTCACGAAGGAGCATAGCGTAACACGGTGCATATAGTTTCACAATGCATAGAGTCCCACGATGCATGGAGTCCCACGCTGCATAGAGTCTCACGATGCATAGATTCATGAAAGAACACGTTACATAGAGTTTCACAATGCATAGAGTCTCACGGTGCATAGAGTCATGAAGGAGCATAGCGTAGCACGGTGCATAGAGTCTCACAATGCATATAGACATGACAAAGCATAGCGTAACACGGTGCATAGAGTCCCACGATGCATTTAGACATGAAAGTGCATAGCGTAACACGGTGCATAGAGTCTCACAATGCAGAGAGGCCCGCGATGCATAGGGTCACATGGCGTATAGAGTCCAACGATGCATAGAGCCACACGGTGCATAGAGTCACGAAGGTGCATCACGTAACACGGTGCAAAGAGTCCACAATGCATAGAGTCTCACGGTGCATAGAGCCACACTGTGCATAGAGTCTCACGATGGACATAGATCTAAATCTTGTGATCACGCAGTGGTCTGTCAGCGCTGTGGTGACGGCCATGAAAACACCGACTGTACAGTCAAACTGTTCAAACTGCAAAGGGCAAAATCTGTCTCCATGAAGCTTATGTTCAGAATGACAAAAACAATCCAAAATCCTAACGCTCAAAAATGAAAACAGTATCTCGTTTTACGAGGCTAAAAAGTTTATTGAAAAACAGTCTCCACAAACTCCACTATACAGAACCTATTCTGCTGCTGTCACTATCTCTGCTCCTCCAGCTCCTCCAACATTATCCATTTCTATTCAGATAGAGTTGACATGGATCACATCAGATCAACCTTTCAGCATATCTTCTGTGATAACTTCCAATACGTCTTCAACTCACACTATAAGCCAATCTGTACCTATGACTAGTACACCTGAAGAGACATTTATTAAAGAGTCACAGGCTGTAGAACCAGCGACTATTGAATCTGACGTTGTTACTCTGACCAGAAAAGAACGAAAAAAAATTAATAGAAAACAGACGAACAGGAAATCCTCTTCTTCAGAGGTACCTCTCCACAACTCCTGTGACGTTCTGGACATGGATGTAACCCAATCGTCCAACATTATTCATTGGAATTGTAGATTAATAATTTTAATGATTTACACCATTTAATTCAAGATAAACCATCAGCAATGCGTTTGCAAGAAACATATCTTTAAAACACAGATCAATGTAATATAAGGATATATAATATGTATACCTTTCTTCTCACCTGCAGGAGCAGAAGCCACTGGAGACTCCTCCATCTTGGTGAGACAGGACATAATTCAAAATGCTGTTCTCTTAACACCAATCTTCAGGCTGTTTCAGTCCGGCTAACATTTTACACTTTGCTCTTTGTATATCTCACCATCTTCTCCTCCTCAGCAGGCTGATCTTCAGTCTTTATTTGGCCAACTCCCTAAACCCTGTGTCATGACCATAATGGACATAACCCTCTATGGGAAAGTGTGGCTACAAACGCTACGGGCACGGTCATTGAAGATATTATAACTAACAACAATTTATGCATATTTAATGATGGCTCGGACACCTATCTACATCCTGCAATAGGAACCTATTCAGCATTGGATCTATCACTTACAGATGCTAATTTACTATAAATGTGACTGATCAGCTCATGACCTATGTGGAAGTGACCATTTCCCCACAGTACTTAAAGCTTCAACACGGTGGAATTTAATAGAGCAAACTAGCCGTTGTTTTGAAACACTGAAACCTGATACATTCAGAAATATTCCAGAACCTTTTCCCGTCCCTATTCGAACAACTGAAAAACATAACTGATGAAACCATTCCTAAGTCCTCTGTGAACCCGCACATTCGTAAACCATGGTTTAGCGATGATTGCAAATGGGCTAAAAGCGTCAAAAAGGTAGAAAAGTTTGTTTTTTCCGCTAACACCCTACAGGCCATAATTTAAATATTGTAAAAATTTACAGCCTAAAGGCTAGACGAACCTTTAAGCAAAATAAAAGTCAGTCTT